GACAGACGGACAGACAGACAGACAGACAGACAGATACAGACAGACAGACAGAGACAGACAGACAGAGACAGACAGACAGAGACAGACAGACAGAGACAGACAGACAGAGACAGACAGACAGACACAGACAGACAGACAGACAGACAGACAGACAGACAGACAGACAGACACAAGCCGACAGAGACAGACAGATGGACAGACAGACAGACAGACAGGCAGGCAGGCAGACAGACAGACAGACAGACAGACACAGACAGACAGCACTCAGGTGGGTGTACACATATGCACACATGTGCACAGACACGCAGGCACAGTGTGTGTTTGTGGTGTATACAGTGGATTCGTCTGTCTATGTATCTGGTTATGTGCCCGCAATTAAAGTGTCTACCTATCTGGTTGAATCTCTCCTTGTGTCTACCTATCATTTGATCTACCTATCTAGCTATCTAGCTCTGTAGCTGTCCGTCCGTCCGTCTGTTTGTCATCTATCTATCCATCTCAATCAATCAGTCAGCAATGCAGCAGTCTCTCTACTTACTTGTCTGTCTATCTGTCTGTTTACCTATCTGTCCGTCCGTCCCTCCATCCTTCAATCTGTCCGTCCGTAAGTCTGTTCGTCTGCCTATCTGTTTGCCTATTTCTCTGTCTATGTGAATGTATGCATGAATGCATGTCTTCATTCTATTTGTGCATGCATGCAGGGAGGTAGCTTAGGCAGATAGCTGGGCAGGTGGGTACGGGTAGGTTAAAGGGGACTCTTCTTAACCCTACTTATGGATCTCCTACAAGGGACGTTATTGAGAGGGTCTATATCCTCAAGGATGTAACCCTAAACCATAAACCCTAAACCTATGTGGAGCCTTGCCTGCCTTGCGCGAGTGTGAGAGTCGAAACTCTAAACTCAAAACCCTATAAGCACAGACCTTCGCCCGCCATGCCAGCCTTGTGCGAGTGTGTGAGTCGAAACCCTTTAGAACGATGCGAGAGGGAAAAAAACCTAAACCCTAAAGTCGAAACCCTAAACCCTCTAAGCCGCAAAAACCCTTATAGAGTTGGGAGCTGGGGCCAGGCGCTGGATGCTGCCACAGACTGCTCGAGCACTCTGGGCTCGCCGAGGGGTCCTCTGAGGCCGGGCCCTGGGTTTTCCGGATGAGAATAACAATAATATTAGTGGTATTACTATTATTTTTTGTTACTACTATTTACAAGAATGGTATAAAATAAAAATTATTATTGGTATTGTTTTCTGTGGTAAGAACAATAGTAGTCGTAAGAATAATCGTAGTAGTAATAATTGTTATTGCACCAATCGGGTCAAAGCTCTGGCTGCCAGGTACAGGCGGCGAAGCTACGGCAGCCAGTCGCTTGGCTGCATTACAGAATCCTGGATTCTTGTCTTCTGCGAAGAGTCGTCTAGCAGCTTAGCATCCATGAAAGGCTGATGCAGCGCACCTTGCAGCTTGCTGCTTCCACACCGGCGCCAGCGCTGCCTGCGAAGGCACCGACTTTCAAGTCAATGAGAACGACCCGAACGGACATGACGCACCCTTGGGAAGACTGCATTGTGCAGTTTTCGTCACCGGTGCCTCGCCTCGTGAAATGGTGGCACCGACCACTTCAAGCGGAAGCACACTCATTTTCCGGCCCTCAGGTATACCTTGTTGAGGAAGATGATGGTGAGGTCGTGCTGGACATCGTGCGTGTTGGGCCCACGGTCGCTCGTGTTGCATTTGGTGACTTCTTGGGGCATGTCGAGATGCGAAGCTGGATGGCTGCAGAACCGAGGACGAACCATGTCAAGTAAGTTATGCCACTCGCGACTGCTCTGCCAAAGCGGACCTTTCTTTCAAGGCCTCTAAAGTCTCTAGAGTCTCTGAAATCTACGTCGTTTCGGAGACTGCCCTTCGGCCCTTCCAGGCCACGGCTGGCACCGTGTATTATGAGCCTGGTGAGTTCAGCAAGTCCATTGCGGTGCCGTTAATCAGCAACACACGTGGCCCGGCAGCAGGCGGAGGGGGAGCGGCTGCATTTGGGACATCAGAACAAGACGCCCTCGGGTTTTGTGGGTCCTCCTGGCTTTCCTAGCTTCTGAGGCTGGGACACGCACGTGGAATTTGCGGTAGAGCTGCTTGAAGACGGTTTAGTGGGTGGTGTGCTCGGGCATTACCTGCACGAAACACGGGTGAAGATCATTGCTGCTCGGCCGGTTTCTTTTTGCAGGGACAGGTCGCGTCTCTTTCAGGTGAGTGCAGCGAGTGACGGCCACCCGACCGAGGATGATGATACTTTCCCGTCCACCCGCTTCAAAGACCAGGTCCTGGCGCAGGATTTCGACTCCATCCCCAGATCCCCTGGCTGCACGCAGAGTGAGGCTGGAGAGCCGGCAACTTTGGGAAGGCGGGTCTTGGGCCTTAGTTGCCAGCTTTCTCACTGCAAATTCTTTGAGGACTGGGCCTGCTCTGGGAGTACATCTCACGGAATTTGGGCGAACCTCTGGTTCAACAGGGCACGCGAAAGATGCTCTTGCTGGCGGTGCTGGACAGACCCTCGGATGCAAAGGAGAGCTATGCGACTGAATCAAATCTCAGAAGCCTCCGGGGGCCAGGTCTGTTTCTGATGTTCAAGCTCCTTCTGAACCTCTACATCTTGCAGTTCGTCTTAAGCCAAAACTTCCCGGAGGAGGAGCTGCTGATAGTCCAGGAGACCTGTCCGAGTTCCAGTCGCCGTGTGACGTACTAATTCCATGTGACGGGCCTCGTAGACTCGTCGACGGCAGTGCTTGCTTTCCGGCATGACTTATCGGACCAGCTCCTGCGCTGTTTGGCGTGGGACCGCGGCGATTAAAAGCGAGAGCCAATGTGAAAGAACTGTTGCTTTCCGCTGGGTCTCAGGATCGAGTACGCTTCTTGTACTACTCCATGGCCTGCTTACTCCTGTGGTTCGGCATTCAGCCACTCATCAGCGAGCATGGAAGTCTACAGTCTACAGTTGGTTTGCTTTCAGTACTCAGTCCCGTTCGTAGACTGAGAGTTTTCACTGCTGGAAACAAAAACACCCAGGAGTCCCAAGTTTCCGAGCACTGAGGCACTATTTGCACTATTTGCAGCCGTCGTGGAGGGTTGCTGGACTCACCCGGGCGGTCTTGGCCTTGGTTGCCAGGTTGCCAGTCCTTAGACGTATGCAGACGGCGGGGCGGAAGCCAGCAAGCTCATTGGAGTAAGGAAGGTTGGGTGCAAGCGAGCTGAGTCAGCATCATCATGTGTACATGAGTAGAACGTCAGCGTTCTTGTGTATACTTCTCTGCGTGAGTGTTTGTGTTTGCGAGTCTGGAGAGTCTTCTCCCCCTCCGTCTGATTCTATCTCTCCCAGAAGCTGACCATGTGGTGGTGTCTACAGGAGGGGTGAGCTTGGAAACCTGCTGGTCCCAACATTGGCAAAAGTCCATCTCAGCCATAGGAAATGCAGTTTCCTCTGAGATGTCGTTAGGGGCAGCGATGCCTGCATGACCGTCTGTCCGCCTGCATGCTTGATTTTCCGTCCATCCCTTCCTCTCTTTCTCCCCAGCCCCAGAAAGAACCATTGCACTCGCAACGACGACAAGGTCCTACAGACGGGGCTGCTCTCCAGCTTTCTGCTGCTTGGCTAACCCCTGGTATGCCGTCTCATGCCCGGCAACAACTGAACGGGTGCTTCCTTGAGGAACTATGATGAGGAGTCGCGGAGCACCGTCGACACCGGCGGCTTGGTTCTCTGGTCACGACCGACGAGTGGGTGGCATGGTGCTTGTTTGAGTCATCTTTGAACACATGTAAGGACAGATAGGCATGGCAATGATCCACGATGTGCCGAATTTGGTGAACAACGGAGCCTCGTCGGATGGTTGCTTTGGAAGATTTCGTCGAGACCCAGTTGCCTCGTAGGTGTCAGGCTCCGGTGTAGCTTGGGGAGAGAAGACCGGCAGCTTTGACAGCCGAAGTCCAGTTTCTGCTCTCCTCGCTGTGGTCCCTTCTCTCGATGCTGCAAGTACCTGCTAGATCCGCATGCTGCCGTTCACAGCCCATGAGTAAGGATTTCTGGGTTTGGTCGCCCTTCTCAGCGCGGTGACTTTGCTGAATGTCAATGCCGTGAAACCAGTCCACAGAGTCAACCGGGGCTTATGAAGCCATGCCTGTCCTAGCATCAGCAAGAACGCGCCAAGAAGTGGTGCATCTTAGGTGTTCAAGCTGATCGTAATGCTTGCCTTCCAGATAGTGGTGCCGCCGATGTTGGGCAAAAGCCCCACCTGGCTTGGCCCAGCCCTTGGTCTCTCTGCAGCTGTACTATGCAACACACCAAGCACACACACTATTCGATGTGTAGCAGTTCCGAGCCGCTTATTGGATGCTCATGTATGCATGCAGGCATGTATGAGTGCGTGTGTGTGTGTGTTGTGTGTGTTTCCGTATGTTCTGATAAAGAACTACCTGTACCGGCCCGACTGCCTGGCTGCTTGGCTGCCTGCCTGCGTGCCTTTCGAGCCGGCCGGCTGGCTGGCTGACTGAATGACTCATTGACTGGCGACTGGCTGACTGATTCGTTATTTAACTGACGAACAAACGAACGGACGAAAGATTGAACGGACTAACTAATTTGCGTACACTCAACCTGCCCTAACCAACCTTAACCAAAGCAAACCACACCAACCAGGTAAGCCAAGGAATCGACGAAACTACGTAATCAGCATCAACGAACTCACTGACGGACAAACCAATAACAAGTAAGTAAGTAAGTAAGTAAGTAAGTAAGTAAGTAAGTAAGCAAGCAAGCAAGTAAGTAAGTAAGTAAGTAAGTATGTAAGTAAGTAAGAAAGTAAGTAAGTAAGTATGTATGTATGTATGTATGTATGTGTGTATGTATGTATATGAGTGTACATGAGTGCTTCACGTTGCATTGCAAACACGCGTTGGCGGAGCCACACCAAAGCTAAGGGCACAAACCTTGAGCCTGAAACGAGAAGTCCGGCAAAGAGCCATGAACCCTAGGTTCCGCAATGCGCATCCAGCAAACTGGCATCCGAAAGCCTCGTGTTCCACCCCAGCTAGTCCTCCCCGGATGAGAGATGCGGTAGTTGAAACAGAATGTCGAGAATCGCAATTGGTTGCAAATGTTGAATGAAAACATGTGCCAGAGTAGACCCTGGTTAATCAACCCCCTTTCTTGAAACGCTTTTACGATTATGATCCCGGTTACCACGCCTTGTGAGATACGGGGGGGTGTATAAATCGGAGGTTTACATTCAGATTCTTATGTTGATTACTACTATGATTGAAGACCACAAGACTACAACCAAAAAAAAAACAGGCCTTATCATGGCCTTATCACTCTGCAATCCTTCCTTGGCAAGGGCTCACCAGGGAGCCGCAGCGACCCCCGGAGTGATGAGGCCGAGGCTCTAAACTTCAGGGTCTTAGAGTTTAAGGTTTTGGGAGGTCTAGAGTTTGGCGGTGTAGAGTTTGGTCACAGCTTCGATGTGGAGGTCCTGAGACCGTTCGAAACATTCCTCATCTTTTCTACGCCCAGCGACCGGACGCCAGCTACACCTTGCAATCGAGAGGACTGTTTCTTAAGATGGTCCCCAAAGGGACACCCCAGTTGTACCCCAACTACTGAAGCAGTCGGAAAAAACTCAAAAAACTAAACGCTGAAGTTTCAAACGCAAGTTTTTAAGCCTTATAAGCTCTAAACCCTAAGCCCGAAGCCTTAACCTACAACCCTAGCTTCCATGGAGCCCAAGGACCAGGAGCCAAAGCACCCAAACAATAGCTTCTGGGTGGGATCTCCCTACCTGATTGCTTGGGCTAAAGAGGGAATTATGGGATATCCCAAACCCCAAACCCTAAACCCTAAACCGTGGATATCCCAACCTCGTGGTTTTGTTGTTCAAGTTTTTTTGGTGGGTTGCAAAACACAGAGAGCCCAATACCCCGTAATTATTCTAAAAAACCTTTCCTCATACTATTAAGCCCTTATTAAGATAGTATACCTTTAAATCATACTATTAAGGCGAGGGGTTCCCTGCAGGAGGGAGCAGAGGATCGACCCGCAGATGCCAGAGAGGAACTCCCCGAGGACGCTTCGGCTTAGTTCGGGTTGTTTAGGGGTTCCTTTAAGGGTTCCAGTAAGGGCTCTTAAAGGGATTGTAGGGTTTTAAGGGTTCCTGTAAAGATTCCTATAAGGGTTCTAGGAGGATTTAGAGTGCGTATAGAGGCATGTATGGTAGAACAAGGTTTTGATGAAGACGTGCTGGAATCACTTCCGCTACATACTAATACATATGTTGCCTACTGTGTATTTAAACCCCTTTGTTTGAAGTTTCGGGTTGGAATTACGACAAGGTGGCTAAGCGGGTTACCACAAGGATTCGATTCGAAGTTTAGGGTTAGGGTCTCCGAGTTTTGAGGTGCAGGGCTTAAAGAACCTACCTTTTTAGGGTTGCCGTAATATGATTTCCTTATATTACATAAGTCCTCAAAGGGTAGGTTCTTTAGGGTCTAGGTAGGATTTACTTCAGGATTTGGGTTCAGTGTGTTAACATTCGGGTGCAAGTGCTGAAGGTGTGCGTTGAGTTCTCGGTTCGTGTGGGGGAAATGGGCAACCCTTCAGCGTTGGTTTCAGAAGTTTTGGTTGACATTGCTGTGGAATGGGGTAAAGTGGATCTGACGGCAGTTCTTGCGCAGGATGCGGCAGATCAGCCTGTGGGAAACACGCAGGAGCATGCAGATGAGGCACTGTACTGGACACGGGCTTTCCACTGATCACTTGTGGCTCAGATTCATGCAACAATAACTGTCACGGAGTGCGGTAGTTTCGGGTCACCTTGTGGCAACTAACTACTGGATGGCCTCACAACAGCCGGCTGATTCCTTCAAGAGCCCGCCGCAGGCAGCAGAGCCTCTGGAAGCAGATCTGGCAGAAGAAGCATCCGAGGCACAAGCCTCTACCTGCGCTTCTGGATTTTGAAAACAACAAGTATAATGATATGCACATGTATACTATATACATAAGCATGATTATCAGCATAATCATGAACATAGCTATAAACATAAATATGAATATATACATATATATATATACGTATAGTTATATAAGTATAGGTCTAAATATAAGAGCTTAAGCCTTGAACCAGAACAAGTTTCAAGCTGGCTCAGGAGGTCTGCGAAGATGGAGCTGCAGAGGCAATGCGGGACCAGTCCACATCTGATGATTCTTCTTGCTTTCCCAGAGGGCCCATATATATATATACATACGACCATTTATGATTCCATAACAGTCGTATGTGGACCTTCTTGCCTTGAAAGGGTGAAGGCATCAATGCATGCCTTTGCAGGCAGCTCGTCCCCACTCAGACTCAAGTGAGGCCAGTGATCGCACACGAATTGCTATTCCTGCACCCTAAACATCCCTAAACCCTAAACCATTGCATTCCTACATGCAGTGCAGAAGCTCGGATGTCGGTGGCCAAGTGGCCAGGTACCCGCACAGAAGGAAGCCGCTGAATCCTCTGAAGCTCCGGGCAGTCCTGATGCCGAGGCCGAGATATGCCGAGACCAAACATCTACATGTTGTCTTACTTTGTAGAGTAGGTCTAGTATGCGTCTGTTTCGCTCGTTGTTTTGCGCACTATCCTACAGTAGCCCACGAACACTCAACATGTGCTACTCTAGTCTTGGCTCCAAGGCCGAACCCCCTAAACCCTAAAC